AATGGATGGTCCCTTTTTTAACAAAAAATATATTCTTAAAAATGTATCTTAGCATTTAGAAGTATCTGAAAGGATGCTAAGCCTAGGTTAATGTCATCCATTTATCTTCAGTTTCATAAAACACTTTTAGAATATGTTCCTTGCTGTATGACAGCAAAAGAAGCACCTGGAAAAGGCTGAAAGAAAAAATGGGGGATGCATACAAATTTAACAGCAGGAAGACAGGATGGGGAAAAAAACAGGAGTTAGGGTTTTTTGTTGAACAACATAGAACTCTTGAATTAGGGCAGAAGATGTCTAAAGCAGGTTGGTTGTGGAGGAGGTTTCAGTGCTTTGATGCCATGGTAATAGGTTTCTTAAGAAGACTAAAATAGAGCAAGATGGATGAGAGGAGTACAAAATGGGGGTGGACATGTTTTGCAGTGATGGATCCTTTTTTAAAAGCTTGCAAAATACACCCACTTTCTTACTTAATAACCACTTTGTCTTTAGGATGGTGCAGGGAGGAGGAAAAAAAAGGAAAGGTAATAAGGCACAGACTTGTTGAGAAAGAGTGGTAAGATGGTGATTGTGCTACCTTTACTATTTTGATCTCAATGTTTTCCATTCTATTGTGTGAACTAAACGTCATATTCATTTAATAAGAAAATGGGATGATCTAGTGTAGTCCAGCACCCCCAACATGCATGGAACACTCTTCCATGTTTATGCTCTTCCTTAAATGTTTTTTCCACAATATACCTTAAATTGTCCTGCAATTTAACATATTTTAGGTATTTTCCACTCATCAATATATCTTTTCTTTGCAATGAAATTTAAATTGTTTTTCTCCAATGTTCTGGGTAAAGGGGTATCTATATCACTGCAGTTAGCATGATTTGGCATCTATTTCTCATTAATAATAAGAGCTAACCTTTATGCCCTGTTTTGTCAATTTCACTGTTTTTCATACCAAACTATATTGCGATAGGTCAGTCATCCTCAGCTAGCTTCTCAACAGATCTCATCATCCTCAGGCAATACACTCAACAAGGCTAGTATTATGTACATTATAATTTAATGCCTCCAGAAAGCATCAAACTGAGGAAATGTCACATAGAGTGAAATGAAAGAGAAACGTAATAAGAACTTGTCTTATACAGACGCAACTTTTGTCAGATAAATGGTATGAAGGTTTTTGAGGGACACAGATATCTTCATCAGTCAGAAAACAGGAGCACTTAACTGGATTAAACCCTGATGACAAGAGGCTGTGCTTCCTGAGATTCTTTGGTCAGATCTTTTCTATCATAATGTCATCATAAAATGTTTAAAACATTAACAACAAAAACTCAGAGCAAAGAAAATGTCATACCTGCAATTATTTAACAAATCTCTACCTTGCTTCAATTAGCTTCAACTAAATTCTAAGGCTGACCCACTAATATTTATTTTACCTTCGTTTTTCACTTCATGAAAAGTTACAGAAGATCAAGAGGAGTGTGATCATGCTGTGTCAGCCATATGCATGAAATAAAATAGACAACATAACACCCCAGATTTAACAATTGTCGATAAGAAAGAAAAAAAAGTCTGAATAGTGGACATAGCAGCAGAAGAGAAGAGAAAGAACTGGGGGAGAGGGGGAAATCACAAAACACAAAGACTTCCTGATAGAAATAAAGTGCCCAAAAGTAATAGGTACAATCCAAAAACAACCCAAAGCACATCATTGGCATTGACAAATTCACCATCAGTCAATTCAAAAGATAGCTTTACTCAGAATAGCTTACATCCTGCAAACGATAATGCTAACACCGTCAAATATCAACATCTACCTATCTCAGGTCCTTGGAAAGGACTCGATAAGTGGATAAAAATGCCGAATCCAGTCTGAACATCTGACTAACTATGTGACAAACCATAATAATGCAGTAAGATTGTTCAATAAAGCCAATTTGGCATAGCGGTTAAAGCTACCAATCTATAAACCAGGAGACCAAGAGTTCTAGTCCTATCTTCAGCACAAAGCCAGCTGGGTGACTTTGGGCCAGTCACTCTCTCTCAGTCCTAGGAAACAAGCAATGGCAAACCACTTCTGAACTCTTACCATGAAAATTACAGGGACTTGTCCAGGCACTCATCAGGAGTCAACACTGACTTGAGGGCACCAAAAAAGAAAAAGAAAAGAACTGTTCACACTAATACAAACTTTCTTCCAATCTAAAATACATCTGTGAGGCGTAAAGCTCATTAAGATCATGGTATCGGAAGAAAGAGCTAAACCTGCTATCTGCACATTCCATGAACTTGATCAGAACTCCTGTGAGATTTGTTCCTCTAAGTCATGAAGCAACTATTCCAAGGCTTGACATAGCTGTGACCCTCTTGAGATCCTCAGGACAAACTCATAAGACATTTGTACCAGGATATGCAGTGAAGCAAAGCAGCTGTTGCTTTGCTTTGCAGCTGCCCCTATGGAAACATTTAGACTCAAAAGATCTGAGTCAAATTATTTCCACAGAAATGTTCAGAGAGTTCATCAGTTGCTATCTACTGAGGAGAAAAAATGCAAAGGCAAACCACATGCTTAATGGCATTCCTAATTGGGTTCCTGCAAACCTGCCAAAAATAATTTGATCTAACTAAGAAGACTACATACTGAATTTAACTAAACCTTACAAAATGTAATTCTATGTTTTTAAGCTGGATGAAGAAGTGTCAAATTTGTCATATAGGAGATTTGTGTTACGCAGAGAGGAAAGCCTACTTCATGTAATTTTCATGTGCTACATGGAAAGAACCTCTAACAGACTTAGTTCATGCTTTCTTCATAAAGAATCAGGATACTTATTCAGAACTATTTTTTGGTAGACTGAGCATAGTGCATGGATTGGGATGGGGGGCAGGTAGGTATCACAATCAAATCTGAGGCAGGTCATAAATGTCAATTTAAAATTAAAAATTATTTAAACGTAAAAACCAATGCACTCCTAGGCTGCACCAGCAGAGGGATAGTATCACATGAACATGTGTGAAGTGTTAGTACCACTTTATACTGCACTGGTAGGACCACACTTGGAATACTGTGTCTAGTTTTAGCCAACACAATATAAAAAAGATGTTGAGACTCTAGAAACAGTGCAGAGAAGACAACAATCACAGAGAAGAGGGGTTTGACTTATTCTTTAAAGCACCTGAAGGCAGGACAAGTAGTAATGGATGGAAACTTATCAAAGAGAGAAGCAACCTAGGAATTTCCTGACAGTGAGAATAATTAATTAGTGAAACGGCTTGTCTCTGAAAGTTGTGGGTGCTCCATCACTGGATGTTTTTAAGAAGACATTAGACAGCTATTTCTCAGGAATGGTGTAGGGTCTCTTGCTTGAGCAGTGGACTAGATTACTAGAATACTTCCAATGTCCCTTCCAACTCTATTATTCTGTATTCTATTCTATGTATAGGTAGGCAGAATAGTTGAAGGGTGGGCAGTCAGCAACTGCAGAATTCTGACTCCCATAGAAATCAGGAGGGAAGGAGACCGTGTTGCACCTAGTGGATGGGTGAGCAGTGCAAGGCTAGCAAGGTCAGGACCAGGGGTCTCCCTACAACAAGAACCAAGCCTGCATGAAGGTCCCTGCTTTGGGTGATGCCCCTTCCTTTCATCTTTCCAAGCAGCTGCTGCCACCCAAGGTAGATGGCTTCAAACTCTATCTAGCAGGAGGGAAAGTTTGGCTGCCTACCTCTCAGAACTATTTGAACATAGCAGAATAAGAGTAGCTGGCCTCCTCAGAAAAGGGGCTTCAGTAAGTGCCTTGCCCCAGTCAACTTGCTTCCATGTTACGGTTAGAGAAAGTTACAGATGCAGCTATTAATCTCCATATAAATAGTATTCATGTTAGTAGAATTCATTGGAGGGGGGAAGGTCATTCCAATTCATTTATTATTTTATGAAGTGATGGTTACCTCTGGATTAATGTGTTGGGTGACTGTTACAGAACTTCCTTTCTTTTCCTCCCTCCCTGAACCACCAGGAAATGATGGAATTTATATCCCAAAGGTACTTTTTCAAGAGGCAACTGGACTTTCTTATTTTTCTTTGAAGAAGCTTCTTCAGCTCTGACTAGATGGTGGGGAATGGAAGAATTTATATTCCTTGCAGACAGGTGGTCATTTGCATTCTTTTAGAGAGTCGTTGAGGCCACCTGGAGGTTTATCTGTGTCCTCAGGGTCACCTGAGTTGTGCAAATGGGCGTGGAGCCTTCTTGGAACTGCTGAAAAGACTACGTTGTAGCCTGGAGATAAATGATGTCAGATCCCTCTCCCTCTGTTGAGAAAGGGTTGTTCAATTTTAACATAGATGGTCTCTTTGACCCTTCTTTTAAACCAGTGGTCCTCTCTGTCCAAAATGTACATGGCATTTATAATGGCATCATCCCCAAGCTGGGGATGTCTATCATCATGTCAGAATAACCAAAAAACCTAAGTGCTATGAAACCAAAATAGTATTAATGGATTGATTAATTTACCTGGTGGGTTTGTGGCTTATTTTCAGTAAGATTACTTATTGGAATAATGCTAATGTTGATAGCAAAAGTCTTCCTTTTTAAAAAGAAAAAAAACCTTTAGCTGCTGGCAAAGTGAGGACCTTCCTGATGAAATCAGAATGGCCTTCTTGTCCAACATAGCAGAAAATAAAGAACTTTCAATCCATAATACATCTTTAGGGACAGCCAAGGTCCCATTCCAACTCCTTAGTACTAAAAGCTTTGCTACCTGTTTCACCGTGGCTACGCTGCCTCTGGCATTCAGAAAAGAATTCCAAGCAGGGATACCCAACTAGCCATGTCATTGCTATATAACCCTCCCCAAACTTGGGCTTCCAAAGTAATGCCAGTCCCACCACCATCACCCACCACTTTTAGTGATCATGAAGAAACTTCCTTTGATCCTTCCAAGCTTCCAATACCGTTTGTTTGTTTGTTTGTTTTCATTAACAAAAAGAGGAAGAAAAACTGGAATACAGTAGCTCAAATAAAATGTAACTGCTGGGCATACATGTGTTTCCCCCCCCACTTCAATGAACCTCCTAGTCTATTTTAGAAAACAAAAGAGATGGTTGGGTGCATTCTGGAGTTGTCTTTAGAAGTATCCCCATTTTCCCAGAAAAGGACAAAGGAAAATGTTGATAAATAGGTGCTTTTAATAGGTGAAGTCATGGCACTCACTGAATCCAATCTGTGAATAAGCTAATGCCCAGCAGCCATTCTTGGAAGAGAGCCCACATTTCTAATACGCCATCTGCACCACAAGATTGTGGACTCCTGCCCTAAAGACTTGCACACTGCTGGATCCTCTGGTTGTTTCATGAAAGTGTATCCTAGGCAGGGAATATGAAGCTGCCCACCTCTGATTCTTGGAAGCAAAATGAAAAGTTGGCCAAAATGAAACATGTGCCACATTTCGGAAACAAACAGCCTGATTCTTGAACAGTAGCCCCAGTTCATGATGAGTACCATTTAAACTCCTCTGCTGGTGATTAGTTAATAAATTGTCAGAGCTGGAGAGTTTGCTTCTGATCATCTGTCAAGCACAATTGCCTGCAGGGATGTGCAAGGAGTGAAGTTAATTTAACCCCTTGTGCTTGAAAACTGAGCCACACTTCCTGGTTTTCATTCAGTGGAAAAGGGGGAAATGTCAGAATACTTCAGGCATCCTGACAATGCAGATGGATAAAGCCATAAGGATAAGTACGATGCAAAGCAAATAGAAGTGATTGCACATATGGCGATGCCAAACTCCAGAGGCCTGACGGCTCTTCTAACTACTGTGGCTGGAGCGAAGAGAACACGGAACATCTTTTAGCCTTTAAAGGGGCCTCTAGAGACACGGGGGGGAGCATTTTTAAACAAGTGCATCTTTGGCCAGAAGAGGAGGAGGAGGAGGGAATCGATGTATTTTGTAGACCTGGAGCAGAGATCTTATCCTTATTTCTCGAGCCATTTGACAGATTGCACATGGCCAGCAGCAGTGAACTGCCATCCAGTCTTCGCAGAGAGTTCCCTGGGGGAAAAACAGAAAAGAATCTCTGCATATAAGACAGACTTAGAAACCATTTTTCCATGCCACTAAACGCCGATCTAATTAGAATTTCTCCACAGAAAGAAATGCTAATTCTAGTTCTTTCCCCAGACTCCATTGCATTTCGCATTTTCCTCACTCTGAGAAACTGAAATCTCTAGATTGCATGGCAGAACCGCTTATCCCTTGTGGGGAAGCAAAGGGGCACCGAGGATCTCCCTATCTCAGGGGTTCTCAACCTTGGCAACTTTAAGACTTGTGGACTTCAACTCCCAGAATTCCTCAGCCAGCTGGCTGAGGAATTCTGGGAGTTGAAGTCCACAAGTCTTAAAGTTGCCAAGGTTGAGAACCCCTGCCCTAGCTCCTGACTCTAACATTGTATGTCAGTATCTGCTTTTTAGTTGCTGACATCTGAATATGCTGCATCCTGTCCTGCCCCAAAATCAGTGGCATACCTGAATCCACCCTTAATTAGTCAGTTCCTGTTCCCTTTTTTACATAGGCTTTTAATTACGGGGTTTGCCTTTGCCACCAAACAACTGCTGCTCATCTTGTCTCCTTCTTGTAGATCATTGCATATTGTCCAGGCAACAAAGCCTTGCCATTTTGTGAACTTTCCCCCCATTTCTATTTCAGAGCTGTAAACTGAAGAGGCCACAGAATCACCCTGCGCAATGGAAGATCCACTGCATCATCTCTGACAGATTACAGGTAGCTCTCGACTTACAACAGTTTGTTTAATGATGGTTCAAAGTTACGACAACACTGAAAAAGTGACTTATGGCCATTTTTCACACGGCCATTGCACTATCCCTGTGGTCAGGTGATAAGAATTCGGATGCTTGGCAACTGGTTCATATTTAAGACAGTTGCTGTGTCCTGAGGTCATGGGATCACCTTTTGCGACTTTTCTGACAAGCAAAGTCAATGGGGAAGCCAGATTCACTTAGCAACCACGTTATTAAGTTAACAACTGCAGTGATTCACTTAACAACTGCAGCAAGAAAATAGGGCAAAGCTCACTTAACAAATGTCTCACTTAGCAACATAAATGTTGGGCTCAATTGCGGTCGCAAGCTGAGGACTACCTGTACTTTCCAACCTCCTCTTTCACTTTTTCTACCTCTGAAGGAAATAGAAATTCCTGGTTTTCCTCCACCCCACTTTAAAAACAATCTTTATACTTCCCTGTCCTGTCCCAGCAGCTGTATTCTTCTCTTGCAACCAAACGAAATTATCCTTTCGATGTATGTTCATTCAGAAGTAAGCCCCCCCTGTATTGAACTGCATCCCAATCAGACAAAATGGCCGAAGACACAAGATCTTTCTCCTCCCCAGCTGTTCTGCAGTTGAGCTGAATTCCAGAATCCCGCTGAAGACATTTTACAAGTGTGAGGGTTCAGCTAGACTTCCCGACTTGGATAACTCCCACTGTTATAAGCTTCAATTATAAGAATTCTGGGAGCCAGCCATGCTTGCTCAGGAATTCTGGGAGTTGAAGTTCACAAGTCATAAAAGGGCCATATAGTTGACCACTCCTGCACTAGACCATCAACCAAGTATGAATCTTTAAGTAAATAAAATGGCAAGCTCTTGGCTAGTTACCAGAATTTTTGGATCTCATCCCAATCCCCTGAGACCTTGTAAGATTTGGACAAGAATCTTAGAATTTATATAATTTCCAGTGAGAATGAAACTCTTGAAAAAATTGGCAATATCCTGAAAGTTTACCCTTTTTAAAATAAGACTAGAATACCTGGGTTGTAAAGCACCGCTAACCACCAGTTTGAAAAGAGAAAGATGTGCCTCTGCTGAGCTAGTGGTCAACTGGATTTGCTTTTTTTTTTAAGTTTTTTTTTAACCTGCCTTTATTATCTTTTTTTTTCTTTTTTCAATTTTTATTATTATATTTTCATTACAATCATAAGAAGAAAAATTCAGATACATAAGAAGTTAAAATACAACACAAATTCCGACATTGCTCACCCATTTCCCCCCAGACCGCGTCCCCCTCTCATCTCTTCACTTCCCCCTTCCTTCTACCTCCTCCTCCTCTCCTCCCCTCCCTCTCTCCTCCATCTTTCTACTTACTTATCCCTCTCCTCTTCTTCTCAATCGGATGCGGTCTGAGGGAAAATGCCCGAGCAATCCTCTATCACCAAAATCTGAACTATTGAAGATACTACCCATACTCTCCCTCCCCCCTCCCCCCACCTCCTTCCCTCCCCCCCCCCCGACTTCCCAGAGCTCAATACAGGGTTACAAAAAAAAAAAAGAAGAAAAGAAAAAAAAAGAAAACTAAACATAGTCAACTTAAATTTACTACTTATACAATAACCGGAGTCCTAATAACCCTTAACTCTCTACAAACTTGAATTCATAATTTAATAAAAATCCATTATTCATAAAATAAATGAAACTTTGTTGTTCCATACTTCTGCTGAATATATTCTATCCATCTTTTCCATACAGAAACATATCTCTTTTGTGAATGGTCCTTTGTAAGCAGAAATTTTAGCCATTTCTGCTAAGTTAGAAACCTTGAACACCCATTCTTCCAAAGAAGGCAGAGAATCTTTTTTCCAGTACTGACCCAACCTGCCTTTATTATCTTAGAAGTAACTCAAGATGGCAAAGATATCTAATATTCTCTTCTCATTCTATTTTTCCTCTGCGATGTGGGTTGGACTGAGAGAGAGTGACTGGTCCAAAGTCACCAAGCCTAAGGCAGGATTAGAACTCATGGTCTCCTGGCTTCTAGGCCAGCACTTTCATTACTACATCAGCCTGGTTCTTTTTTTTTTTCCAGCTCAAATAGATTAAACTGATTTTAATTTAAAATAATTAGTTGAATAACTTAATTAATGTAAATTAAATTAAATTAAATTAATAATTTAATTTAATTTAATAACTAAATAATTATTCAGTCTATCCCAAGAACAGACTATACCTATTCTCTGAATTGCTAAGGAGCTAGACAAAAGGTGCAGAATCAATCATCCTCTTGCAATTACAGAATTTGTGAAACACTTCATATTCCTTTCCTGTTACCATTATTTATTGCACATAGTTGTATAATTTGAAAACGGGCCACTTTTGCTATAGTTTTTCCTCCTGAAAATATTTACATCTATACTACTCAGAGCATGATGCAATGTTACAAGTGCAAGCACTTATGTTAAGCTTTAACCAGTTTATGCAACTTTCATTTCATATAGTTTGTGTTACAGCACAACCCTTCGCATGCAACCTGAACAATATCAGTGCTGGCAGTCCATTCTTTCTTCTAACCTAAGTTGCGGTAGCCATGAAGAACATCTGCATCTTGTCATGCTTCCTTGGCAGGAGAACTTCTATGGTTTTTTATTTAATTTACAGGAAAGGCAAGATGAGCATTAGGAAAATGGAAATCTTTGTCGCGTTGATGCAGTTTGACTATTTGCCTCAAATTATTCTGAAAAGGCTGTGCCAGTTTGAATCAAATTATATTTCCAAAGGAAGTCAATGCTGATCTTACATTCAAACTGACAATTTGAATTGGACCAATTCAGACACTCAGGAATGATTACTGGTTTGCATTAGATTGATCCAATTCAACAACTGCAATCAGATCCAGTTTGCACAAACCTAAAAAAGCATTTATTTTATCTGCATCCATATTCAAAAACACCCTAGAACATCTGTCCACTTCTCTTCACTGTACGTTCCTGCAGGTGGATGACGGATATTATTCTTGTGTAGTGCTATTTGGCAAACATGGATTGTAATTATTTTAAAAACAAAAAAACCCTTGTATTTCTTTATTTTTCACTGAAATGTTAAAATGACTGTAATTCCAATTGGCATGCATTAAAAAGTATATTTCCTCTTCGGGGACAATGCAGTTTTACAGCTGTGGCAAAAACAAACCGTTGCTTTTACTCAATTGTTTTTTTTTAAA